GAGGGGGAGTTAGGAGCCGGGAGAAGGGAAAGGTAGCCAAAAAGAAAAGAAATGAAGAAAATATGGTCAGTGAAGCATTTTTTAAGTATACAGAAAAGAGTGGAAGGAAGGTCAGAAGGAATCACAGACAAATGGCACTCTTTGCCAGTTATGTGTTGAATTTTTAATATATACATTTTAAAAAAGCATAATGAAGAGTTGCAATTTCACATATAATCCTCTTTTTTGTTCTAATATAGATTCATGTATATATATATATATATATATATATATATATAGAGAGAGAGAGAGAGAGAGAGAGAGAGAGAGAGAGAGAATTAGTTTTATTTGATGTTTTAAATCCAGAATTGACAAAGAATAAAAATAAAATAGGGGTGATAAGAACTGTCTCACTCAGAAAAGAGGTTCTTTCTTAGGTTTTTTGAAAATCTTGCATTGGGTTTGGGGTCAAAGGATGGAGATTCAAACCCTGGTTCAGCTACTTCCTATCCGTATCATCTCAGGTGTGTCATAGGGCCACTCTGGCACTCAGTTAACTCATTTTTCAAATGAGGAGGTAGACCTGGAGAGTTTCTTCCAGTTCTAAGTCTATAATGTTCTGACTCTAAAGTGCTATAAAATGCCGTTTAGTGAAAATAGTGTTGATTGTGTTGTGAAAGTGAAGGATGACCAGGATCCATTAGTGTCACACGATGTCAAGGGATATAGAAAGGACCTACAGCTTACCAGCACTTAACTCAGTTATGTACACATGACTTAATGAATGCTGGTTGGCTGACTATTGGGTGGGCCAGTTCTGGGGCCTTGTAGGAAGCCACGGGTAAAACGGCACAAGATGGTCGGCTGTGGAAGAGTTCTGATCTGTACATGAGAATGTGTGTCCATGCTGAGATCACAAATCTAACAGAATATTGAGATATTTTTAGGGAGAGTGAGTGATGGTACCCCAGACTAAAGCTAATTATAAGACATTCATTTTTCTCCATGAAACACAAAATCCCTTAGAAACCTGCTTCCTAAAGGATCTAATGACTGACATAGAATGGGATTCCTAATTAAAATAAGGAAAATGACAGATCTGGGAGGAACATCCCTGACCACCCACATCACACCATTTCTGCCTAGAATTCTATATAACAGATGAATTCTCTCTTTCTGCAGCACCTCTGCCCCTGCATGCCTGTGTGAAGACCCGAGAGGGTGTGTCGTCAATGAGAGGAGAGGGCAGCTCAGTAACTCAATTCCCAAAGTACAATCCTAAGAATAAAAAACATTAGATTGTTTCTTGGGACCTGATGCTTTTGCCTGGCTCTGAGAAAGCTTGTAGTGACTTCAAATGGGAATCTGTCACTTGGGTGGGCTAGTGACATTTATGGAACAGATTGGCTAAAGGTCTTGTCTGTGGAATGGTGTCTTTTTGGGGAATGTGGGTCCATTGATAGTGATTGACATCAAAGGCATCTGGAGGAATTACTCTACCGAGTATTATCGTGTGTACATATGTGTGAGTAATAATAGGAAATAATGCCCATTTTCTCTCTAAAGGAGGTACTTTATGGCTATTTTTAAGTACTCTAAGGTGTGTGGCATTTTTAGTTCCAAAATGTCTCTCACATGAGTCTTATCTTCTTCCTTCAAATAACATCCCTCCGCTTATCCCCTGTATTATTGCAGTATCTCTCTGTTTGGTCTCAAGGCTCTCTCAGCTCTGGGCTGTCCTCTACCCACAGTGCACTTCGGATCTCATTACCTCCCTACGATCAACCACCATGGCTTCTGCGAACACATATATCCTCTTTGGGGCATTTAGAGCTCTTCATAGCCTGGCTCTTCCTAGATTTCCAGTCTTCACACACATTGCTTTCTCCCATGAACTCTGTGGTCCAGGCAAACTGGTTTACTTCTTATCTCCCATCTCTTTACCTTTGACCCAACTGTTACTCATGCCTCTAATGTTCACCCTCATGGCCTTGGCCTCTTGGAATTTTTGGTTTTCCCTCGAAATTCAGCTCAGTGCCCCCTTCTCTTCTACAAGAAGCATTTTTGGTCCTCTGTCAGCTAGTACTACGTCCCGCCCTCCTCCTGATTCCTTGTATCTACTTTGTATATATCTTGGATGTACCTGTCTATCTACCCATCCATTCCTCTATCCATCTATCAATGCACATATATGCAAATATATATATTATATATATGCACACGCCTATGTACATGTGTGTGTGTGTGTGTATACGTATGCTAGAATGTAAACATCTTGAGAGCAAAGAAGATTTTGTTTTGTTTTCTCCTCTTGTCTTTCTAGCCTAGTACAGTGTAGCTGGTAGTGGGTTCTTAATTAATGCTTGTTGAATGATGGCAGATTCATTCTTTGAGGTGGCCTTCCCTGTGACTGAGCTCTGTGCTCCTGGTGCATTGTGTGGCTGAAAGCTTTTGTTATTCTGGGGTTAGCCCTTGGGTGATAGCCTCTCCCCAGACTGCAAGACTGTCTAGGCCTTGGATGACCTTTGGTTACTGGACTCCACAGAAAGCCTTCCTAGCTGCATGGGGCCTGTCAGAAGCTGTACCCCCTGGCAGAGCCCTCTGGGAGCCCAGGCTCATCTTTAGATCATGACTGGCGTTGGAGGAGGGCAGTTAGTCTGGAGACGTCCCACGAGCGGTTTTCAAGCCTCTGAAGGTCTGTTTGTGGAGGGAAGGGATTAGTCTTGTTCTGCTACACCCCAGAGGGAAGAACTAGGGGCAGTGGTGGGGACATTGCTGAGAGCTGGCTTGAGGCTGAACGCTGAGAAAGCCTCCTTATAGTGAGGCAGGCGGCCCAAAGCAGAGGGAGCTACCTGGAGAGGCAGTGGAAGACTGCCCGGAGCCTGGGGGTCTTCAGGCAAAGGTCAGAGGAGCCCGGGCCAAGGTAATTTTAAAAAGGGCTACTGTTAACCCTGTTTATCTCTTTTAATTCAATCTGTTTTGGCCTTAACTTTGTCTGAGATCATGGTTGCTCCCCTGCCTTTTTTTCTTGAGCTGAAGCATAATAAATTCTGCTGCAATGGTAGCCATCTCTAGGGTGGGGAAGGGAGGGGGGAGAGGGAAGAAAAAGAGAAAGCTACATGATAACTTTGTTATATATTTAAAAGGAATAGCAAGTTGTACCTAATAGATTTGCACTTTCATGTAAATCATCTTTTTTTTCTATTCTACTATGTTATGGAAGTGCTTGTTTTATTTCTTGGGTTCAAAATAAGATAAATCTTTCTTTTTTTTTAAAGGGGAACTGTTGTTAAGGTAGAGTTGTGAGGAAGCTGGGTGGCTCAGTGGATAGAGCACTGGGCCTAGAGGCCAAAGACCTGAGTTCAAATATGACCACAAATACTAGCTATGTGACCCTGGGAAAATCACTTAACCTCTGTCTGCCTGCCTCAGTTTTCTCAACTATAAAGTGGGGATAATAATAGCATCTGCCTCACAGGATTGTTGTGAGGGCCAAATGAGAACTCAGCACAGTGCCTGACATGTAGTAGGCATTTAATAAATGTTTCTTTCTTTCTTTCTTTCCTTCCTCTTTGGTCCTTTCCAACCCTGAGATTTTATTATTTTGATAGAGACTTGTTTCCTTAATCTGCAAAAGCAGTTCTTTAAAGCAGATCCTGAATGTTGTTTACTTAATTGTATAAGCAGATAAGACACCAGTCTTTTAATTGCTAGGACAGAGCCCTGCTGCTTCTCTGGTTCCAGAAAAAATAAATCTTTCCCTGGATTTAGTCATCCAGTGACCAGGCTTTCATCAAAGCATTAGACTGATTTTTTAAAGAAGTTTTCTCACCTAGGCCCACAGGGAATCTGAAGGCCATCTCTCTGCACCTAGTGTGCTTAGACATGCCTCACCCTGTGGTATCCTCTTCAGCTTGTCAGATTGTCAGCCAAAGGGAGCAGAGGGGTCACCAACACCACCCCCTTCATGTTACAGATGAGGAAACTGAGGCACAGAGCTACTTATTCAACATCACTCCACCAATAAATCTCATCGTCAGATTTCACATCCAGGGCTCTTTCTGATTGACTCCGTGGGTCCTTGCCCCAGAGCCCTGGAATCCCCATGGGGCAGAGTAGACACAGCTGGGCTGCTTTCTTCACCCTTCATTCCGTCTTGTGCTGTGGCGGCCAGAGCCACGAGGTTCACAGAAACCTATTGATGTAAACACCATGTGCCTGGGATGTGTGAGCCCCAAAAATAAACTGCCCGAGATAAAAATAGATGGTAGGGCGGTTGGAGAGGCTGCTTAATCAGGACCAGCTGCAAGCTGTCAGAAAATGGAAGTTGCAGGAGCCAATCGGTTTTCTGTCCTTTCTGCTTTAGACAGTATCTCATTTGGATGACTGCGCCTCCGGTAATGGGCTTTGCTCTCAGTCATACTGTTTGATAAACATATTTGGTGAGAAGAGACACTTCTAATTAGTGAGCCAGGAAAAAATGTTAATTTGCTTTAATATTTTTCTCTCCAAGGTGAGGCAAAAAATAGCTTCACCATAGTGCAGCCATGACTGGAGAAGAGAAAGGGAGTCTTGTGGCCTGGGCTGGAGTGGGGTTGGGGCTGCAAGGACTGAGTCCCTTGAGTAGCTGTGTGGCAGTGGACAAATCACTCATTCACTCTTTCTTAGCTTCGTCATCTGTAAAATGGACATATTAATAGAATCTCAGAATCTCTGCATTGGAAAGGGTCTTTAAGACTCTCTAGTTCAATCTATAGCTGAAGAGAATCCTCTCTCCAATATAAGTGAAGGTTAAGTCTTGAAGACTTCAAGTGAGGGAGATTTCCCGCCACCACCACCCCATCCTTAGTACCTCCACCCTGGAGCAATTCTGAGGAAAATTCTTTGTGCTTGCCCAGAGGTAATATGTCCTCGAGCAATGACTTAGAAAACCACAAATTAACATTGCCTATATTGCATTGTATTTTTATTTTGTTAACTATTTCCTGATTATATTTTACTCTGGTTCTGTTTGCATTCAGGCAGGGCCAGGAGTTTAACCCCTCTGCCTTGGCGGACAGAGAAATGATGTTGAAGGTAAGAAGTTCTAGGTTCAAACCCGCTTCATACTAGCCATGTAACCTTGGACAAGTAATTTAACCTGTCGCAGCCTCAGTTTCCCCATCTATAAAGTAGGAATAATGATAGCAACTACTTCACGGGGCTGTTATGATGATAAAATGAAATAATGTATGGAAAGGGCTTGGCACATTTTAAAGCATTACAGAAAATATATGATTAGTTATTTATGATGATTAGATCATTTTTACATGAATAATAAACTACTGTCGTGATGCTCTCAGAGAAGTAACAAGAAGTAGCACGATGTAGAGAGCAGGTCTCAGGACCGGGAAGATCTGGATTCAAGTTCCCCCTCTGCCACATTTTGGCTGTGTGACCCTGGGCGCTTACATTGGTGCTGTCAGAGATGACTTTGTAAGTCACAGAGGAGGTGCTGATATGTACTGGTGGAGGGCATTTGCTCACTGGAAATCCCTCCTACCAATGAAAGCCCAGGCCTCAACCCCCACCATCACCCCCATTATTATTAATAAACTGTGAGGCACTATGTAAGCAGGGTGATATCATCACTTTCTATTTTTAAAAAACCACAAGAACTAGGTTAACATTTAAATATGATACTGACCAAGTGACCAAGAACATGTTTTGTTTTTTTTTCTTCTAAAGCCAAATGGATATCTGTGAGGCTCAGGGTCTTCTTCCTGCTTTAGGCTCATTTCCCCTTTATTTTAGAAATATGGTTCAGTTAAAAATCACCGCCTCCCCTCCCCCACCCATGCCCATCGTGAGCTCTGTAGGCTCATTTTGCCCAGAGCCCTTTGGTTTTACTTGATGAAAGGGACTGTAGACACACCAGTCATTTCTGTCTGGTGTGGACGTAAAATAATGTAAATTTGAGTTCCCTATCATGGGAAAGGCTCCTTGAACAGATCAAGTGTGGAGATCTCAGAAGAGGGCTTCCTTTTATTTGCTGAGCTTGAACCGAAAATAAACCCACATGGGATTAGTCATTCATTCAAACAACTGCTCTGAGCTGGATGCCAGGTGATATGGGAGATATGGAGGAGGAGAGATGGTCCCGCCCCTTCCCTGAGACATGAGTCAGGCCTTTCTCATCATGCCAGATTGCAGTAGCTCTATAAGAAGGTCACCCTTCCTTAATAATAATGACAACAGCTAGGACTTATATAGTGCTGTAAGGCGTGCAAAGAGCATGTTTCACATATTATTCAATTCTTACCTGCTCTGGCAACCGATCAAGCATTTATTAAAGGCTTTCTGTGTGCCCGACACTGTGCCTGGTGCTGGGCGTATAGGTGCAAAAGTGACCATCAATGGTGCTGTGGAGACCTCTAACTTAAGGAGAAGACCGAGAGGGTTAGGTTGGGGAGGGGGGTGGAGACTTTTCTTTCCAAAGGGCCCAGGAGAAAATATAGCTCCTGAGGGTCACAGGGAATCTGTGTGTGACAGAAGCATCCCTGGCTTCTTCTGGGCTGTCATTATCTCTTATAAATATATATTTTGACAGTTTCTGGAATATGTTATTTCCTTGAATTGGGAATAGTCCATCACTCACCTTGCATATTCTGCATTAATTGCGTGAACGTGGAGAATGGATTTTCTGGAAGTACAAGCTGTCTCCTTCCAGTTGGTTCACTGACCCTGTGGCTCAGCAGGTGTGTCTCTGACTCTCATTTGCACTTGAGCAATAGGTATGTCACTGGGCTCGGCTTCAAGGAGAAGGAAAACTCAGGGGCACATGAGGGCTGCCTTCAACTATCTAAAGATGTGTTATGCCAAAAAGGGATTTATTCTGTTTGGTCCCAGAGGGTAGAACCCCAGTTCTGTAATGGGGGAAAGTGGCAACAACGTCAAAAAACCTTCCCCATGATTGAGCTGTCACTGAGTGTAATGGACTGACTGAGGGGTGGGGGGATTCCCGCCCTAACTCTAGGTCTTCAAGCAGAGGCTGCATGACCACATGTTGGGTATGCGACAGAGGGAAATCTTTCCATGCATGTGTTGGACTCTCTAGAATTCAGTGGTTTGCGGTTTAGTTCTGGAAACCACAATCTCAGGTTGAAAAAGACAGGGTAGAGCATATCCAGAAGAAAGAAATTAATATTTGGAGAGAAGCGGATAGCGTGCCATACAAGGATTGATTGAAGCAACTGGAATGTTCAGCCTGGGAAGAAATCTCAGCAAGACATGGGGGCTGTTCTCAAGCCTTCAGAGGATGGTCCTGTGGAAGAGAGCTTAGCCTTGTTCTGTTTGGCCCCAAGGGAAGAAGTGGGAACGCTGGGTGGAAGCTGCCAGAGGCAAATTTCAGGCGCACATCAGGAAAAGCTTCCTCCAACGATGTGAGCCTCCATTTAATAGGATGGGCTTCCTCAGCAGCTGAGGGAAGGGGGAGTTCCTGCCATACTGGAAGTCTCCGAGCTAAGGCTGACTCCAGAGGACGTGTGTAGGCAGGGATAGGCTGGATTACAAGGGCCCTCCCAACCTCAGCTTGTGAGATTCAGATCAGGTCAGAGATCCTTGTCATTGTGAAATTGACCCAATACTTGGCCCTCGCCTTGGGAAAGGGAAACATCCCACTCACTCTCATGTTCTCACCTGATCCGGATGTAAGGTTCTTCACTCACGGGGGACCTGACTTCTTTCTGAGGACTCTGTTTCCCCTTTGGCCTTGGGGTTCTCTTTCTTACATCAGCAGGGAGGGAAGTGGAAATACTGTCTTCAGTTGTTTGACAAGGGTATGGTTTTAGTCAAAATGAACTGAAGACTCCATAAAATTCAAAACTACAGTGTCTTTATTTTTGAGATGTATTGATGCCTCTCGTTTTTATTTCAATCTTTGCCCATTCACTTCCCCATCAGATCTTCCCTTTTAAGAAAGAAAAGCAATTGGGCAAAAACACTCTAGGCAGCTGATTTGACCACACATAAACCACGGTGTCCAAGCATCCCCCTACTCCTCTGCCCTGAGGCGGAAGACGTCTTTTCTAGGTGGTCTGTCTTAAATTGATGAGGATAATAATATATCCATGGTTCCATGATCTGTGATCAGGTTATAATGCCTAGTTTAAGGAATTAATGAGGGACTTCCTTTGCCAGGTTGACTTTCTGTGATCAGAGAAGGAGACGTGGGAGTTTTATTCGTGATTGAGTCTTTACATAGTGATGTTTCTGGGCAGTTTGATGCTGAGGCTTGTCGATTTCACCTTTGTCGATTTCATCTCTCCCAGAAGCCTTCTTCTCTCCTCTGATTCTGCCACCACCTGGACCACATCTTCCTCATCACACACCTGGACTATTGCAATGGAATGCTCGGGGTCTCTCTGCTGAGACTTTTCTCTCTCCAGTCCATCCTCCACTCTACTGACAAAGTGCAGGTCTAACCATGTCGCCCCCCACCAAATAAACTCTCATGCTCCCTATCACCTCCAGAATCAAATGTCAAGTCTTCTGTTTGATGTTCAGCTTGCCCTTTCCCACCTTTTCAATCTTCTTACACCTTACACTCTGCCACCTACTCTGATATCTAGTACCACCGGCCTCCCTGCCCTTCCTCCCACAAGACACTCCATCTGCAGACCCTGAACATTTTTACTGGCTATGCCTCAATGTGCTCCCTGGTCAACTTTGCCTCCTGACTTTCTTCAGATCCCAGCCTTCTACAGGAAGCCTGTTCTGACCTCCCTTAATTCCAGTATCTTCCCTCTACAGATTATCTCTGATTTATCCTGTATATATCTTATTTGTGCATAATTGTTTGCATATTGTCTACTCCATTAGACTGTGAACTGTGAGAGCAGTCCATCCTCCACTCTTTTTCCTTTCTTTGTATCTCTTTTGCTTAGCATGGTCCCTGACACATGGTAGGTTGTTAATAAATGTTTGACTGACTGACTCTTTCAGTGTCTGTCTATCTGTTTATCTATCTCTGTGTGTCTCTGTGTCTCTGTCTCTCTTTCTCTCTCTGTCACACACACATACACACATACATACATACATACACACACACACACACACACACACACACACACACACAAAGAAAACAATGTTAGATAAATAGCTGATATTCTGAAGTGGTTCTGAAACAGGGAGCAATCTCACATGTAGCCTTGGTCCCTCAGTCTTTCCCTCCTCTTCTCCCCACCCTGCTGTCTCTTCTACCTCCCTTTCCCCCTCTTTTCCTCTCTTTCTTCCTCCATCCCTCCCCTTCTCTTTTTTCTCCTTTTCTCCCTTTCTCCTTCTCTTTCTCTCCATTTTCACACCTCTCTCCTTCCCCTCCCTCTCCCTCTTTCCACTCTCTTTTGTTCCCTCTTACCTTCTTCTCCCCTCTTCCCTTCTTCTCTTCTTCCTCCCTTTTCCTCTCCCTCCTACCTATTATTTTCATTTAAAAGATATTTTCATTTCCCACTATTTGGAAATTGATTCTCCTCTTAAGAATCCCACTTGAAAGGTGTGTATCCCCTTCCTGATACCCTGTGGCTACGGGAAGGTTTCTATGACACTCTGGCCAGGGCTTCTCTTACCCCTTGGCTGCCTCAATGCAAGCTTAATTTATCAGCTAGCCAGTTTCCCCTTGTAGAAATGCTCAGGTTTTTGTCAAGCCAACAAGAATTCTGGGCAGCCATCCAAGAGGAAAATGTGACACTCCATTGGCATTTGGGGGCTAACAAATATCAACATGTAAACCAGTCACTTAACAGTGAGGGAATAAGTAAGTGAAAGTTAATTGAATTAGTCCACACAGATGGACCACATTCAGTCCTTGTATCTGTGTTTAACCCATTCCAACGGTTGATGCCTGGCTGCCCACCTGACTAGTCCAAGGAAGACAGGGGGTCTAATGAGAGGCACTTCCTGGGCCTCAGTGTCCTCATCTGTCAGATGAGAGGGTTAGATTGGCTGATGTCTAAGCTTTCTTGGAGGCATTGACCTTTGAGAAAGTTAGGAGACAGCAGTGATAGAGTAGTGAACTTGGAGTCATAGGGACCTGACTTCAA